GTTTGTGGTGTATTGCGATGCTTCGAGAATCGGGCTCGAGTGTGTGTTGATGCAACATGGCAAGGTTATAGCCTATGCTTCTAAGCAACTCAAGAATCATGAGAAAAACTATCCAACCCATGACTTAGAGCTGGCAGCAGTGGTGTTTGCGCTAAAGATTTGGCGGCATTATTTGTATGGGGTTCATGTGGATGTATTTACGGATCATAAGAGCCTTCAATATATTTTCAAGCAAAAAGAGTTGAATCCGAGGCAAAGAAGATGGCTAGAGTTACTCAAGGACTATGACATTGATATTCTCTACCACCCGGGAAAGGCTAATGTCGTGGCAGATGCTCTTAGTCGAAAATCTATGGGGAGTTTGGTTCATTTGGGGGCGTATCAGAGGCCGCTAGCCAGGGAGGTCTACTAGTTGGCCAGTTTGGGAGTTCGTCTTGCGGACTCTAATGAAGGAGGGGTAATTATACAGAATAGAGCTGAATCATCGCTTGTAGTAGAGGTGAAGGAAAAACAATTTAACGATCCGTTATTAGCACAATTGAAAGAGGGGATTCACAAACACAAGACCATAGCTTTCTCCTTCGACATGAATGATGGTACTCTACGGTACCAAGACCGCCTGTGTGTTCCTGATATCGACGGTCTTCGGGAAAGGATCATGGCAGAAGCTCACACATCCAAGTATTCCGTGTACCCAGGTTCTACAAAGATGTATCATGACCTCAAGGAAATTTATTGGTGGAATAACATGAAAAGGGATGTGGCGGATTTTGTGGCAAAATGTCCGAATTGTCAGCAAGTAAAGGCCGAACATCAAAGGCCCGGTGGATTGGCTCAAAACATAGAAATTCCAATGTGGAAATGGGAGATGATCAATATGGATTTTGTGGTAGGTCTGCCGTGCACTCCGCAGAAGTTCGACTCAATTTGGGTGATCGTGGATCGACTCACGAAGTCAGCACACTTCTTGCCGGTTAAATCTACCGACACAGCGGAACAGTATGCTCAGTTATATATCAAAGAAATAGTCAGGTTACATGGCGCTCCAGTCTCAATCATTTCCGATCGAGGGGCTCAGTTCACAGCCAACTTTTGGAAGAAGTTTCAACAAGGTTTGGGGACGCAGGTAAATCTTAGCACAGCTTTCCATCCACAAACCGATGGACAAGCTGAGCGGACTATTCAGACGCTTGAAGACATGTTCGAGCTTGTACTCTTGATTTCAAGGGTAGTTGGGATGACCATTTGCCACTCATAGAATTTGCTTACAATAGCAGTTTCCATGCTAGTATCCAGATGGCACCATTCGAGGCATTGTACGGTAGGAGATGTAGATCCCCCATTGGATGGTTCGAGGTCGCAGAAGCAGAGTTGATAGGGCCGGACCTCGTGCATCAGGCCATGGAGAAAGTCAGGGTTATTAAAGAAAGGTTGAAAACTGCTCAGAGTCGCCAAAAGTCTTACTCGGATGTTCGTCGCAGAGATTTAGAATTCACAGAAGACGATTGGGTATTTCTGAAGGTATCCCCTATGAAGGGCATCATGCAGTTCGGAAAGAAGGGAAAATTGAGTCCGAGGTATGTCGGACCGTACAAGATCATTCAGAGGATTGGTCAGGTGGTATACAAGCTCGAGCTGCCACCCGAGATGTCATTGGTTCACCCGGTCTTTCATGTGTCTATGTTGAGGAAGGTAGTGGGAGATCCGTCAACTATTGTGCCAGTTGAGACTATTGAAGTTAATGAAGAGCTGTCATATGAAGAAGTTCCAGTTGCTATTCTTGATAGGCAAATTCGAAAATTGAGGAATAAGGAAATTGCATCCGTGAAAATAATTGTACTTTTTTAAAAAAGGTGAAAAATGATAATCAATAATATATAATTTATGAATAATGAAAGAAACGGGCGCAATTAAATATTTAAAAAAAAGATCTTATTAATATCAATCGAATAAAAGTTAGTGCACTAATATAAAAATAATAATTAATAATAGAGGTAGATTTAATGATAAATTCCTACAAGATTACGTATTTATACCTTTGATGTTCTTTAAATTATAACTTAGAATATATTTTGTTATTGAAAATTAAAATTTAAGCATATATATATATATATATATATATCTCAATGTGCGTTACACGTTTATTTCATATCATATGCCGACTTTAAGAATTTTTGTATGATTTATAAAGGTATTTGGACACACACTTTTGAAAATGTATATTTATTTAAATTTTATCTATTATTTTAGCTTCATTTTTAAATAGGAAATTTTGAAGCTAAAAATTTGTTTCATTATCTCAAAAGAAATAATGTTTCAGTCACAAAAGTTTAACTTCTTATTACAGTGAAATTTATATCAAACAGAATTTCAAACTTCTTTTCAACTTCAACTTTAACTTCAAATACTGATTTTTTAAACTTCAATCAAATATTGTTAAAAAAAGATAGAAGTTATGCTAAATTATGTCAAAGAAATTAATTATTCAAAATTTATGTGCTAAAAAAAGACTAAAACTTTTTTTTTAAAGACTAAAATATTGCCGGTTCAAAATTCAAATTGATGTTGTCTCCTTTCAACATGGAACAAATAATATTATTACTCACCTTAAAAGTTATTTATCAAGTCGATAAAGGTATCTTACCTTTGAAGTTATAAATATAGACAAAGTATTTCTTTTGTAAGTTGTAATGCCCCTTCCGAATTAAAATAGTAGTGGTTAGTGAATAATATTATCAATATGTGACTATTTAATGATATCCATATTTTCCTGCATATTGTAGAAATATTTAAAGTTATCTAAAAGTAAAATTGTGAAAAAAATTTAAATTTAATGTTAAAGGAATGTAGGCAGCATATTTTCCAAGGAAACTATTTTGAGGATAGCAATTTCTCTACATTGTGCATAATTTAATAAAAATTCGATACTAAGGATATAAGGCCTACTAAAGAAATTTCAATTATTTAATAATTTCTTCTACCACAAGAACTTAAGAAAGAAAATTTCGAATTGAAGCAAGCATAATGTCACTTTGAAAATTAAATGATTAAGTATCTACTAATCAACCGAGGAAAAATCAAATTAAACCAGAAATGACATAAAGGCCGAAAAGAAGTTCGGTATGAACAAACCAATATTTAGTAATAACAAAAGGACTCAGCATAGTGGTTGTCTAACCATTTTAATGCATTACTAACGCATGTACCTTCATTGAAGAGAATAAGTTCATTAACCGATTGTTTCTTCAATACGGGAATGTGCACCTTTATATTTAAATAGGAGTATATTTTTTCACTAAAATAGAGCATAAATAGATCTGAAAAAGAACGTATAGTTACTTATTAAAAAGACACAACCTTTTAGAAAGGACATGTCAAATCAAATTAGGTTTTTTCTTCTTTATAAATATTATTATTAAATTATATTTCTACAAAACAGAATATTTAAGCTATTTAGAAGGGTATTTATGTAATTTAATTTTTAAGTTATGGGCTTCCCACTTTTAATATAACTAGTCTCTATATACGTGCATTGCTCATACAATTTTAATTATTTTTATGATATAGCAATAAATTAAAGTTATTAAAATATTATATACAAGAGAAAACAATTACTTTGAATATCAATATTATTACCTTAACCTAATACTTGAAATCCTATGATTGGATACCGTCTTAACCGGCAAAGATGATCTATTTGTTATTATGCTATAAGAACAAATACTATCTAAACTTAACCAAAGAGATCATTTTTGCGGTTAAGACGATAACCAATCATTGAGACATAGTTCTTGACATTGTCTGAAGCTATAACAATTTGCAAATTTTAACTTTTCATGTATTGCATTAAGTATAATATTTGTTAGAATTTGCAAATTTTAGTTATTTTTAAAAGTTAAAAATAAATGAACTTTTCGACATAAATATTACTCGATTACTTATCAAGGAGATGTAATTAAAGGTTTATTCACTTGATGGATGACTGAGTATCTTTAACTTTACGACATCTACCTACAAATAAAATATGTATTTCAAGTTAACAAAATATTAAGAGTATGTGTTAGCTCGTACGTCGATTTTCGTAGTCAAAAACCTTATAAGATAGAGACGAAGGTAAAGATTACATAACCCATTTGCTTAATATATTAAAAGAATTGACTACTTGTTAGCCGAGTAACTATAAAACATACTTGGTAGCTATTATATACGCTTTCGCTAACTTATTATGACTTCTATGGCTTACTATTTTTACTTATCTTCTCGAAAGAAATTCCGTCAACGTTAAAATTTTTTACAACATTCTTCTTTTCCCCCATGTAATCCTTAATAATATAAATGAATGTTTTACACTAGTGCCAAGAATTCTTTAAGAATTAATAATATGAATTTAGATCACTATCTTTATAAACATGTCATGTTGTAAAATAATATTATAAAATAAAAATAAATGATACATGTATTTTCTGTGGTGGTCCAGTTTTCTTGTCTGCTAAAATGATTAGGCATACAATCAATGGAGTTGCTTAAAAAGGTAATATCAGTATTGATTTAATACACATTTTGTTTGAACTCGTGTGAGATTGGTTTTTGTAGGAGACGATGGTAACATAAAATATTTCTCGAATTTACAAAGTGGAATAAGGATGATCATAAATCCTTAATATTGCTAAACAAACATGAACCAAAGTTATTAAGGATTTATGATCATCCTTATTCCACTTATATAGTTTTCCAATTATAACGCGTACGTTCAGTTTCAGATCTACTTATGCACATTTACCACCCAAGGATAATTCTGATACTGCTGATCCTACTATTTCAATGACTTCCTCCAATTCAACTAAAGCATGACATTATTTAACTATATAATAAGTGAAACATTTCGGTACGACGAAGGGTAATCTAGAAATACTTTTGTTTTTCAAGGGTATTTTCGTATTTCGTATTTTGCTTTCCTTCACTTTTCCTTTCACACTCCACGCCGTTTTCTCAGAAGTTGCGGCTCACATCTCTGTTCTTTCTCTCCAAAGATTCCTTCGCCACCATGGCATCGAGTTTTCTCTTGGAAGTAGAGTCGCCATGGATTCTATCGTCAACATTTATATTTTCTCTTGAACTTTGGTATTAACATGAATTTTATTTTATTGTTTCTATCTGTGAATTGGTCTTGCGAGGTTAATGGAGTTACTATTAACTTTTTTCATCTATTACATGTTTCTTTATTGAATTTTGTACATGCATGTCGACTAAGAGATGAGGAGAAGAAATACGAGGAAGAGGCCAACAACATAGAGTACAGGAGGTAGGATTTAATAAAGTGAAATACTACCATCCATTTGCAGGATTACTTCAACAAATGTTGATTCTTAGTGCATACCTTCAAATCTTTTTTTATTGGGTAGTTTAACAGTTTTTTTCACAATCACAGACAATTAATCATATTTTTGTTGGTTTAAATATAGGGGTTCTGACTTAATATTTTAAAATTGGTCAGAGTGTGAGTTTAATTTGGTATGTTCGGTCTTTGTTTGTTGTTGCATTGTATTATCGCTCTTATTATGGCCTCTTTTTATGCATGTCATCCTTTGTTGTAACGAACACAATTTAATTTTGGAAATCTTATAAGTAATTTTTAACGGCTTTTCTTACAGGTATAACGATCTAAAAGCAATTGGTAATTTTGGAAGAAAACATCAACTCAGGGGCTTATATTCTTCTATGTGTTTCTGGTGCTTCTTGTATTGTTCAGTGCATTTCTTCACACTTCAACTGTCAGGTAATTCTAATACCTACAATGAATGTGAGAAAATGAATAATTTTTCCATGTCCTTCATGTGTTAAACAGTCTGCTCTAACAGAAGGAAGAACGATAGTAGGTAATAGGTGTATGAAAGAGTGCAATTCTCTATAAAGCAACCTTCTCAGTTGTGACTTGTATGTTCTACTTAAAAATAGGATAACGCTTGAATGGAAAAAAGAAGAAGTTTTACCTGTTACTCAACAGATGCTAATTATAGAAAATAACCCAAAATACTACATTGTCACCATTGGTTGTACCTATCCAGTCAATAACTGTTTATGGTTAACTTGCTATTCCCTTGATTTTTTATTTACATGGCAAATTTTCCTCGGTGCATTTGGTGTAAACATATCATATATAGATATATTTTATGACCAGAATTGCTACTTCCCTTTTTTACATAATGCATGTATTGGACTCTAGCATAACTTGGTAACATATTATACCTACATATCGCTTCGTTTTCCGATTTTTGCAGGCATGAGTGAGCTATACAACTCTACAAAGTGTTGATGTCATACCCAAGGCACACAAAAATAATTTGAAAGTTTAGAAATGTGATTCTTGGTGAGTTTTTGGAGCTTTCAGTAATGCAGAGCAAGCTTGTCTCATATCTTTGGTTATGCCATAATTAGAAACTTGATGATAGATTTTATTCTTGTGTTACGGGATTGGATACAATGAGTTTCAAGATATTGTGGATGATGGTTCGATAAAAACTGGACTTTAAGCATTGAAATACAACTCATATTTTCCTTTTTCCGTGTTCTAGGAAGCTACTGTGCAATACATGGACCTTACTATCTGTTATCATTCTTTATTTCTTTCTGTTATGTCTTTATCTTATAGTTGATTATATATATGCATACAATCAATATTGTATTTTTACTTGGTACCAATGTTCTGAACTATTTAACTTTCTCATTGATTATAAACGTGATGTTCAAAGGTTTTATAATTTACAACCAGTTTCTCATGTTGTCATGTTACTTGCATTCTCAGATTTACACCAGATACTTCTATTCCAGTTCGTTATTTCCAGGTGCATCATTCATACCTGCACCTCAATTTGCTAAAATACCATTTTGTTTTGCGGGCAACCATTAGGTGATGTGAATTATACGCAGGGCTAATTAGTGTGTTCTTCAAGAAAAATCATACCAATCATGAATTGAATAGATTTTCTATAATCTCTTGAGCAATAATGTATTGCATTTGCTTGCTCTTTTGGGGATGGAGTAAGGGAGGGAAAGGGAGCTGAAACATGAAGGTATGGAAAAGGTAAGGATTATATCCAGCATTTCTTTGTGTCCATACTTGGACTTTCCTTTACATTAAATGATGGAGCATGCAAAATTTTGGGGGAATAGCTTTCAGCCTTGTGGAAATCGTGTTTTTCCTGAGAGTTGAGTGTGAGGCTATCTGCTGTCATAAATTTTTCTGGTGAGTAGTTATCCCTTCTTTTGGTTGGTATTTTCTCATTCTTTAGATATGACCCATTGTAGATGCTTTTGGTATGTGCAGGATCAAATATTTTAGGGGAAGTTACAAAGCTCTTTGCAGATGCTGTATTAATTTGCATTGCAAGTCTGATATCTACTAACAGAAAGGATGCATGCCATATAAAAACTCTATCGAGGCAAGTTTTGTGTATTTTCTCTCAAAGAGAAAAATATTTTAGATTATTTATTGTTTCTTTTCTTATGATTTTTTAGGTTTTTATGAATATGTCTCTAGAAAGGTAAAAAAGAGAGATTCAAAGGGCCTCTAGACATTGCATGTGCATGAAAGATCAAAGGTTTTAGCTTCATCCAAATTCAACACTGCTTTCTGCTTTTCTCTTTGGTTTTATTTTACTAAAGTTTTTGTTTCCATGTCAATCTTTTATTCAACATTTCTTTTTCGCAAAGAAAGGATGAAAAAAGTCCCACTTGGCCTTAAATGATCAAGCTGAAAGAAGGTATTAGTGCATGACTGAAAAATGAGTCTGAAACAATAGGCAAACTGCATCAGCAAAAAGCAAACCTGCATCTTGTGGATTACTTTGTAAATTTAAGGACACAGACTACTAATGAGAAGTGTACTACTTTATTATGCATATCTTTAACCTTTCATGAAAATGTGTTTTATATTTCATGACTTGGGTATCTCGTCTATTAGCATTAAGGCAATGTGTTGCACTACGATTACACATAGGAATTTTTGCATAAAACTCTAGGTTTAAAAGTTCTTTTGAAGTATGTATATATATATATATATATATATATATATATATATATATATATATATATAATTTATAATTTTGTAGAGTGTTTCTACACCTTAGTGTTTGTTCGAAGCATCTCTTTCCTTTTAGAGAAAGTTTAAGCAACTTGGGTGCTGCAATGTTAATTTTTCTTTTAAACATTTTCTTTATTGATATGACTAATCTGCATATGAGGGGACCATAAACCGTACTTCTCTAAGATACATATGAAAATTGAGAGAGCACTGTGATTGCCCATAAAATTACCTCTGTACAGATACAGTAAAAACTGCAGCAGCAGCAGTATAAGAACAGATGCAAAAGCTTCAACAGGAAACAGCAAACTCAATCAGGCGAACAACACAAGTAAATGACCAAAGCTAAGACCCAAACGAACCCAAACAGACTTGGAATAAAACCCAGGAAAACTTCTGAACTTCAGCAACCAAACACCAGGAATATTTAAGCTATTTCTATCCTTATCTAAGTTGAAAACTCAAATCAGCAGCCAGAACTTGAAATTAAACTAAAAAACTTCAATAGACTAGCATTTTTTTGGTGTTTTTTGTGTTGTTTTTGGTTTTTGAAGATTTAAGATCTAGAAGGAACTCTCAAATTCTCAGATTTCAGTTTTTTTTTTTTATTTTTGAATTTTGAAATTCAAATTTTCAGATCTCAAAACATTTAGAAATATGTGGGGATTTTTCAGATTCTAAAACTTGTGAAACAAGGCAATGGGCATGCCTTTTTATAGGCAAAACTTGGGGCAGCCTGCAGATTTCTGTTTTACACCCTAAGTCCCTCTTTTATTTTCAGTTTTTTTAACTATTAGACCCCTCATTTCATGCCTTGTTGACCAAGTTATACTGTTAACTTCCTGAAATTTTAATTGGAACCCCATCTAGATGGTTCTAGGAAGCTCTATTTTCAGTTGCTACAGAGATTCTCTAATTGAAATACCTATACTACCCCTAAAATTACTAACCTATATCATAACTAACCTTAGTCCTCTTAAATTTGGTCAAATGACCATGGTTAACCAAACAAAGGGGCTGGAAATTTTCAACTATAACCAAATAGGAATCTTATCATAATTTGAACTAGAATTTATCCTAATCAACGTCATTATAGACTACTACTCTGAATTAGACAGAATTTAAGAACCAAAATTGATAAAATTCCAAATCAAGCTATTTATTATCAAGTAAACAGAAAATTATGAATCAAACACAACCAAATTAAAAGAACAGGTTCGTGCTATAAATTATCAGAAAATTAGAACTCAACCAAAACGAAAATGAACAAATATGAACAGAGAAAAATAAAATCAATTACTGACTCTAGACGGATTGGTAAGCAAAAATAAAAATCAAAACCTAAATCGATTAATCATGAAAAGGAATCAATCATGGAGGGGAAACTAATTCAAATAACAAAACCAAGAGAAAAATTCAGAAACTCACTGATTTTGAGCTTTAATTTGATTGATTTCGAATCTGGTCTTCAAATAATGTTATGTGTTTGTTCTTGCCAAGAACAAACACATAGCATAATTTCAAAACCCTTTCGCACACCGGCTAACCCTGGAAACTCGAACAGTCTTTGAACGAAAACCCTAGATCTAAAATTCGAAGGGTTCGACCTGGATTTGAATGGTTTTGATTTGGGATTTGGGAAGAGGGGGTCGAGGAGGCCATGGGGTGAGATTTTGGTTGGATTTGGAGGAGCTAGGGTTTTGGCCGGGATCTTTGATTCGAGATTCGAAGGGCTAGGATGGGATTTGAAGAAAAGTAAGGCTGGATTTGTAAAGGGGAGGTGAAGGGGAGGCAGTGGTGAAAATTTGGGAACATTTGGACAATCGACGCCGGCGGAGGCGATTTCCGGCCGGCGGCGGCATCAGGGTTCAGGTGAGAGGTCGAAGAGATGGTGAGGGTAGGGGGTTCTGAGGGGGGTGGTAACGTTTGGACATTTAAATACTTAAAGATGTGGGCTTCAGGACCGTCCGATCAAGAAACCTCGACGGTCCTGATTGAATGAGCCCAAAACGACGTCGAATTATGATCTGGGGGGGCTGGACCGGGTGAGATTTTGGGTTTGGGCTGGGTTGAGACTAGGTTGGCTTCATTTGGGCTACTGATTTAAACAGAAACTGGCCCAAAACATGGGTCCTTATTAAGACCTTTTAATTTCTTTTAATTTTTCTTTTTTTCAATTTTTTCTCTTTTTTTCAATTCCATTTCATTTTCATTTCATTTTTGGATTTTTGTTAAATACAAAATAAAAATGAAAAGACCTGATTTAATTCTACAACTAAACTAATTAATTAAAAACCAATTTGAGAATTAAAAGTAAAAAATGCAAAAGGACTATTTTTGTTATTTTCTCTTATTTCTTGTAATGTTAATTAACTAGTAAACCCAAAAAATATTAAAATGGGGTCCTAAATGCAAATTGTATTTTTATGAATTCTATCAACTAAAAATGCACACAAAAATGCAAACAATCACAAGAATTATGCAAATAATCCTAAAAA